GCTTCCTCAGCCACTAGCCAAGTAGCTAACTGCAAATGGTTTTCTCCACTGCACTGCAAAGGCTCCCCTCCAGTCATGGCTACCTTAGTTTAGCCATGACTAGCTAATCATAGCTAATCTGTAATTCAGCCAACTAAGGTTTTGCTAGTCATGGCTTTGTTATGACCCCCTCTTTGTTAAGGAGGACAAAGGCTGCTAAAGTCCTCTTGACTCAAGTTCTTTGTTAAGAAGGACTAAAGTAAGAGCTGTATCTGAGCAGAGTAAATTAATTAGGACAAGACAATTTAAATATTGCTTCTGACAGTGTATTGTATTGATTTATGACGTTTAACAAGATTTATTGCTCTAAAGTGCTTGAGTGTAAACAGGCCACTGAGGCTGTGAGATAAACATTTGCTTTCTAAGATTAATGACAGGTAAAGTCACATCCTTCATTTAAAGTGAGCTTACTATCTTGTCCTTCCTTCTCACTAAATATTATATAATCCCTAAGACATACAGAAAAGGAACTTCATCTGAATGGGCGCAAAGGGAAGAAACTTCTCCCATGCAGAAGTGAGTGGCTTTTGCTTTCTTGTGAGTGTGTTGGGCAAACTCACTTGTGATTGTGGACAACTCTGACTTTGCCTCAAAGTTTATATTGTTTTTACAGAAAAATGTAGTGTTTATTATTATTATGTTATAGCTTATTAAAATAGCTTATTTTGCATTACAAAACATTAGTTAATCTTATTGTCTGCAGTTCAACATGCAGTTGTTAACAAGCAAGAGCACAGCTAGAATAATTTGACCACAGTGACAAACTCTTACAAATAAATGGTGTCTTATTTATTATATTTTCCATATTGACTTTAAGAGTACTTTTCTACACCCACTGAATGTTTGTATTGACAAAAACATGCATGTTAGTTATTTTTTATTGACGAAACACTCGCTTTTAACTGTAACGTGTTGCAGAGATTTCAGAGAAATATTTTTACCACAACACAAGAGAAAATGAAGTAATGAAAGATGTACTTTGTAAATGTAATTATATTGTATAATCTTGCAGTGTCTAAGCTGTCAGTGTTCAACAGCTACAGTGAGGCTTAGAGCAACAACATCAGCTTCCATCTTTATATAACATGATGCGACAAGCTCATTTTCCTCTTTGTCGCACTCCATTTCATTTGATTTCACAGCCAGAGGCTTTCGTGCTCCATCTAATGCTGAAAGGGTGCTGCTGAGGTTTGGGCGATTGATTTTACTGCTCCCTCACTGCGTGGGACAGCTCATGTCTGCAAAGCTCTTTGACTGTTTTTCTATCATTTAAAACAGAGAATCCATTCTAATAATCTGCAGCTCATTAATGCCACAATCTTTATTTTCTTCAATAAAAAAAGTTAAACATGATGTCTTCAGCTATACAGAATAAATACTGCATGTAATATATTTATAGTATACTGTGTATTCCATTAAGTGGTATAAATGTTTGGTTACTTTCAAATAAATCTACTGTGAGATTTGTTGTTGTTATTTTTACTATTTCTTCTATATGCTGTTTCTTTTTATATCCTTTAGAGCTGAGAGCCCTGAAGGAACGATGCCACCGTCTGCAGTAAATGTGCTGTTCCCATGAGGGTAATCTTCTGGATCTTATGGATACTGATGATGCCGATCAATGATCCTGTTGGTGAATTTTTCAAGTCCTTTCCTCAGAAGTCCTAGAGCTCCTGTGATCACTGGTATTGGTTCAGCCCTTATGTTCTACATTTTAATCACTTAAATTTCCAGATTTTTATACTTAAACAGGTTTTCTATCACTTTCACAGATGTTTTTTCCCCCTGACAATTAATAATAATAATAATTCTGTGAAATGAGAAACCTTTGTTGAGAAAAGAAGATATGATTCCCAAGAGCAGGTAAAGTTTGTACCAGTTTCCTTCATGAAACATGAGAAAATAGTGTTTCTTGTATGTAATGGAAAAGGCCACTAGATGGCGATGATGAATAGATTTATTTATTTTTTTTCTCCAGATTAGCCAGAATCTTATGAAAACATTTGTGCAAACTTTACCAGTTTCCCAGTGCCTTAGTTTAGCTATGTTTATCACCCTATTGAACTAATATTAGTTGTGGGGTTTCTTAAAGTGATATCTGGGTCCATAAAAATCTCGCGATATCTTGCCGCTGTTACTTTCTTGAGCGCGTACGCATTTTTGCTTTGACTGTCTCGTGTGAATCACGTCCTTTATGTACAGCAATTGGCGTAGTACGAGCGTGCCACTCATACTGGTTCAGTGAGTTGTTAGGAGTTTTTTTTTCTTCCAGAGGGAATGTCAAGCTCAGAAGTCCTGGCTGGTGAAGCAGAGGGGAACGGCGGCATAATGGGTGAGTTTTCTCAGCTTTGGAAAGCTGTTTTTTGCCCTGGAGCTTTGTTTAGGACTGACTTTTTGGAAGTGTCTGGCGCCTTAGCGAGCTGTTTCCTAACTTCGTTGAACAAAATGCTGGAGAATACGTTAGTTGTCGTTACTTCAGCTTAATGCTGCTAAACAGACATGCTAGTGAGACATGTAGAAATTATTGGCATGTATCGCTGTTTGGCAACATGTCAGAAGCAACTACAGTTTCCTGCTGCTCTCTCTTCGTGTTAGAAACAGTTCCGTCACTGCTTTTTAGACCTTAAGTAATCGGAGTTCACACGAACCGTCCATTCAGAAGTATTATTTTCCGTCTTGGTTTATTGTAACAATGGCCATTTGTTGGAAATAAAGTCAAACTCGACTTAATAATTGAGAAGAGCTGTCAGGATCCACAGACTGGAGTAAGTTTAGCAATGTGCGGAAGCAGCGTTGTTCTCAGCGGTATCCGTGTCTAATGCTTTGATCCAGAGGCTGTGCTAGGATCCTTAAACACAGGGGGCTAAGCCCAGCCATTAAAGACTTAAATATCATTCTGTTATAAAGTATTTTCTCCCTTACAGGTTTTGCTTTTTGTGTTGTTTTAGTTCATCAAACATTTTTTTATTAGCAGGTGAAGGTAACTTAAATATTTAGAAATTTCAGATTTCAAGTGGTTTGTCTGTTCTTGCTTGCTGTTGTGAAAGTGTGAAGCTTGTACAAGTCAATCTTTCTATCAAGTGTTTTTGAATTGGAAATTGTTTTTTTTTATATAACTCTGGGGTAATTTTGGTCTATTCTTTTCTGCAGAATAGTTTTAATTCAACAGCTTTGAAGGGTTCTCAAGTATGATATGCCTGCTAAGGTCAACATCTCAATTAGGTTAAAGTTAGAACCTTAACTAGGTCTGTTCATGACCTGAAATATATATATTCAGTTTTACCTGGATAAGACTTCTATGGTGAATAAGTTCTGACTTTGCAAACATTTACTTATTTGTTACAGCCATGCGTAGTGTCATCAGTGTAGTTACACTTTGTGTTGCCAGGTTGATTCACTGCAAGCCAGGAAACGTAACTAATTAGCTTTTTTTTTTTTTCTTTTTTGTAAAATTTTATAACTCTGCTCAAAATTCACATGACAGTTGGATGGAAATTGTTTCGTGTTCCTAACCAGATGAACACAATTCTGCCATGTAGGTGTTGAGAAAACTGCATACTTGATGGAACAGGTGTTGTTGACCAGCCTGATAGACGGTGTCTATTGGATGGATTGCATTGGTTTCTGTTCAGTTAAAATTCAGTGACTAGGAACACTTACACTGTGGTGTTCAGGAGTCCCTCAAGAATGTTGGTTTTGCTTTGAGCAAAAAAACCCAAAAAACATTTGATTATAATTATTTGTCAATTAGTAACTTTTGTCTCTTACGTTCCTACTGCTGTGGTATTAAAATTGTTGCTTGTAAGCGACCGTGTTGACCAAGCATCGTCCATCAGATGGCTTCCTTCCTGTTCTGCATAATATCCCATGTACCTATTACTATCCATGTCTTCTTTGTGAAGCAGCTACACATTGCTAAACATGCTAACTCCGCCACCATGAAGCAAGAAACCATGACATTTTTTGTTTGCAGATGTGTATTACTAGAGAAGCACCAGACATTCATTTAACAAGTGCAGCCGCCCTGCTGGTTATAGGTAGTGAAGCGTAGAATTTGTCAGGTAGAACCGAGTGTGTGGTGTGAAACCATGTGGGGAAACAGGTCAGTCTGCTGCACTGGGGCAAGTCTCTGTGATGTCAGGTCAGGTGCATTACTCAAATGACAGCAACAAAGGTTTCTGTTTTTGTTTAAAGACAATGGCATTGATTCATCAAATGATTCAGTTAAAATGCTGTTAGGAGTAAAAAGAAGGAGCAATTCTGAGCCACAGTATGGAGGAGAATAAATACCCAGTTATATCATGGAAAACAGAGCTGGATCCAAGCAGCATGCTGTGTGTGTGTTGTGTCTGTGTGTGTGTGGACTGATAGTACAGATGAATAGGTCAGGCCTCCTGCCAGCTACACACGGAGTATCAGGTGACACGGCGGGCTAATGCCAAAAGGAGGTGGTGGCTGAGCCGGGTCGGGTCCGCTGAGCCGGGTCCACTGAGCTAGTTCGGGTCCGCTATGCTCTGGTTGTTGGAGTGTAATAATGTCTCTGTGCATCAGAGATAATTTCTTCTGTCTTTACATGCAGTAACAGGATGGTTCACATCTACATTAGATTTCCTCCACCCAGCAGATATGATGCAGGCTTAGCAGATCAGAGTCTTGTTTACATTTGTTAGATTTTTAATCTTGTTAAATTGGAATTCAGTCCAGTGTTTAGCTCCAGTTTTTTCTATTAAAACAAAGAATCCATACAAATGTTTTATACAGATAATCCCTAAGTTTCTTGGCCATAGCAATGTAGAAAAGAGTCTGGATGGTCACATGTTTGATCAGACTCATCCAGCTCGGCATGATGATCTGTGGCTGACAACAGCTACGCGATGCTCACCCTGGTTCATTCTGCAACACCCAGCAGTTGAGACACAACAACACTGGGAGTGTTGGAGCTTTTCGATGAATCATGCCAGAATAATGAGAGAAATGGTTTTGGTATGCAAACACGAGTGACATGTTTTACAGGTCTGCGGATCTCTGCAAGGTACAGCACTTTACCTAATTATAGCTCCAAACACCGGCTGGGGTGTGGATCATGTTCTCTTCATTTCTGGTCATGTTTGGATTTCTTTAGGGCTGTGACTTACAATTATTTTAGTAATCAGTGATTCTATTGGTTAGTTTGATGGTTAATTGATTAACTTGGATAAAAATTTGGCTATCCCTTTTAACTGGCTTATTTCATATAACATTATACATAAAAATGCAAATAAACAAATAATTTAATTCCTCATGTAATAAGAAAATAAATATTTTATTTAGGATGCAGAAACAGCATTCTAGACCTAGAATCCAATTACATTGACCATTAGCTCAATGTAATATTGAGCTAATGATCAATGTTGATCATGCATAGCAAAGGATGCATCTGAGCCAAAAACAATCATTTTCGGCTCAGAAAATCAACATGTGAAAAGCTCAGCGCGACTGATTATTTTAAATATCTGAAATGCAGACAAACTGGTGGCCTGACCTTTCCTGTTTATCCACAGTTTTCTCTCCACACCATTTTTTAAAATATATTTTGAAGCAATTCTGAGGTAAAACCTGAAACTGCTGCTGTGCAAGTTACTCAACAGGTTGTTGCTAGGTAACCAAAGAGTGCGCGAGTTAGTTGATGCCACTAACCTTTCTTAGCTGGGAGTGAGAGGTTGATCTTTGCCTACAACCCCCATAAGGCTGTGCAGTCAATATTCAATATATTAAATGTTATTGCGATATATATTTTTATAGATTTATTGTCCAGGCCTATCTGTGGGGATATTTCCTGCCCCAGGACAGGCTCAGGATATCCGAAGTTTGCTGTAGGAGATTCATCAAATACATTTCCTGGAGAATCTCCTGTTTTTATTCCCATGTTAGGATGAAAATGCGGTTGAGGAATTCTGGGTGGTTCTTTGGAGCAGAGTGTGTTGGATGGGCTGAGAGGTTTGGATGAACCTCCAGAGATGTGTGGAATGCTGGAGCTGTGTCAGGGCCGTGGGAAGCTGGTTGGTGTGTGTGAGAGAATCTCTCTCCTCTTTGCTGCAGCCCTCTGCTCTCTGGAGCTGAACCCAGGCAGACTCAGACTCAGGCTTCCGGGACTGCCCTCCCACATAGTTTCCGCTTCTTCAGCAGAGTGCACCTTGCTTTCTGGTACGGCCTCAACGCCTTCCTGCGCTGATTTAATTTTTGTGGTAAAATCTTAGCTCAGGAGCACGTCCCATGTGTTCCTCTGGTTAACATGTCAGTGGGAGCTGCTGATGCTGTGCAGCTTTGCTGAAACAAACAAGTCAGCTCACACACTCACTTGGATGACATTCACCAAACTCGCCAAACTGTAACAGATGGTTACAGACAGCAGCTTGCTGCGCTGCAGACATGGAGGCTTCTCATCAAACCCTTTGTGAATGTAAACTGAACTTTTCAGTCATATTAGGTACAGGAGAACATGCTGTGTCTTCATTCTTATTTTTTGTAGAAATGTGCTTCTCTCTGCGGTATTTGCATGCAGTTTCAGTTTAAACTATGAGTAACGAACAGGAAGCAGTGTGGAGAGGGCCACAGTAAGCACTCTGAAGCTGTCAGGTAGAAAGGCTGTTCTAAAAGTGGTTGAGTTTCAATTTAGAAATGAGTTAAAAGTGTTGCAGTCATGCAAAAACACCGGAAAGCAGAAACCAAAGTGCTTCATTTAATTCAGTGTGAATGTATGACATCCTTTTTATAGCTGTGATACCAGAACAAAACATTTTATGTTTTGTCTTAGAGCTACATTCATAGAATAGTTCTAAATACAGTGCCATATTTGCATATACAGTATGAAGTCTTGTTGCATTTAGAAATTAATCTACAATATTCCACAGCGTCTTGCTCATCAGTCTCTGCTCTAACAAGTCAAAGGAATGCTCAGTAGGAGCACAGGGAGGAAGTGGAGGAGCTTTATGTCTCATACTGTCATAACTTTGTGTCAATTTAACTAGTGTGTAAAAAAGAAAAAAAAAAAACAAAGAAATAAAAACATTATTGCTACATGCATCAAATTCTGTAGAAATATTTATAAGTGCTCACAGAGAGTAAGGATAAAAGACGATTTGTTGTCCTAATTCTTTCCATTGTTCTTGTTTTTATGCGTCCTGGATCTGCCACCTTCACTGCTGCCTTGCTCTCCATCTGTCTGCTCTCCAACCAGCTGTAAGTACATCACTCTTGTTTCAGTGAGATCAAAGATCACCTGCCCCAAAACTACTTTGTAAAAGTTTTCAAATGTTATGGTGGATGGAATAGAATACATGGTTTTAGTGTTTTGTTGTCTTTTGGTAAAGAAACATTGAAAAGTGTGGCATGCATTTGTATTTTTGTATTTATCCACCTTTACCCATTGTTAAAAGTCCAGTGCAATCAACTCCCAATACGTAAATAGAGTCTAACTGGATACAATTTAATTATCCAGTTGGCTGTTCTGTTTCTGACCTCAGACTTTGTTAGAGAACAAACAGAACCATAGAGACCACATTTCTGATGGTGACAAATTTATTAAAGAGCATCATTTTTTTCCCCAGTTTGCCATCATCTTCAGCTTTGTGTTGGTGTAAGAGCAGGGACCTCATGCATAAAACGTGTATGTGCACAAAAAATGTGCGGCGCCATATTCTACACACAAGTCGGCATGTATAAAAATTAACTTTGCGTCAAAGTGTGCGTAAATATACTCACACTTTTTCGCTGCCGTGAAAATGTGCGGCAGCCATGCAAACTTTTTCTGTGAACAATATCAAACTACAAAGCGTCAAAACTCACCTAAATACACTGAAACCTGACTACATTCAGTGTTTTTTAGACCAAGAAGCATCAAACCCGATGGGTTTTTCATGATTTAATTTTTTTATTGCTTAAAAGTAAACAATGAAACTGAACCGCATTTATCCCCCAGACAATAAAGTAACACATACACAAAATAAAGAAAATAAAAGGATGTGAAAACCTCACTCGAATGTAAATAATACTTTTCCTCAGTTTTTGTTTCATAAAGATGTAAATCGTTGGTCTGTGCGCTGAAGCGCATGAAATGCATCTATGGGGTAATTTCATTCTCAATTTAAAAAAACAAAAACAAAAAACAGGGTTGGATCAGCAGATTAACTCCAAACAAGTTTGATTATTTTTTAAGGTGATTAAGGTGTGTAGACAATCCCGTATGCACGTAGCTGCGCAAAAATGTGCCGCATTGTGGAGCGTTTTGGCTCTGATGGAGAACATCGCCAATGGAAGGATTCAGAGGGAGCGTGTGTTCAGAGATCATGTTTATCTTCTGTTGATGATGGTTTATTAGTGCTTGGATTAATCCAGACTGATCATCTTGGAGCTCTGAGCAAAACTTAAAGAAGGAGCCGTGCTGTACCGGTACCGGTCCAACTGCAGTCATTGAGCCGCCAGCTTGGTGAATGCGCCTTTCTGGACAGAAAGCATCTTTATTCTGCAAATGTACAACTTATGCACCTGATTCTACTATTTAGAATAAACGTCTGCATTCCCCACTGAAAGGACTCTTTGACCCGGTCTGTCTTTAAATCCCGGCTGAACGTGCTACTGTTCAAACGGGCATTTTCACAATTTATTTATTTATGTATTTAATTTGGATTTTATTTTTTTCTTTAAAATTTATTTTTATTTTTGTAAGGTGACCTTATGTCCTGAAAACACCTTTTAAATAAAATATATAATAATTATTATAGATATTCATACTACTACAAACAAGGACGTCGCCATGGTTACTGCTTCACTAGTGGCAGACTTCTGGGTATTTATACTAATTTACATATGTATTTATGGGTGGCGACATTGCAGACCAGCAGCTGCGCTCTATTTCCTGCAAATTAGGATTTATAAAGGAAAGGTGCGCGGCCACATGCGTGCGCACGGCTTTATGCATCCCATTTTTTTTGTGCGCCGCACTCTTCTAAATTTTTCCGTACTCCATGTTTTTGTGTGAAAACTGCACATTCTTTTATGCATGAGGCCCCAGGTCTTTACTAATTATTTAACAATTATACAGATGACAAAATTAAGTGTCATCTGTATGAAACGCTCCTTGAGATTTTTGAATGTCTGATCATTTTGTCAACTGTAGTTTTTGGCTTTGGAAAAAAATTTAAATGTGTGTGTGTAAATTCAATCTACAGCAACAGAAGAACCTAGAGGGCTATGTGGGTTTTGCTAATCTACCCAACCAAGTTTACAGGAAATCAGTGAAGAGAGGCTTTGAGTTCACTCTGATGGTTGTGGGTGAGTACATCTATATTCATTTGTGTTTGGTTGTCTACATGTTTCTGCATATGACCAAAATAATATCACAGAATGATTTGTGTTTATTGTGACATATGATTCTATGTGATTTGCAACACGAACAGCTGCAAACAGAAAGTCAGCCTGTGGCTCAGATAACAACCTTTGCAGCTGTTTGTTCCCCACAGAGTAGAGCTGGGCCATAAGACCTATGACAGTATCATGACATATTGAGCAGTTCGCCTCAGCAATGATAAATGGACAATAACGCATGATGCTTGTCCGGTGAATTTAAACCACGCCCTTTTGGCCTGTCACAATAATCAATAAATCAATTAATTGTATTCAAACTCAATAATTTTCATTGGCATGATTTGTTGTTTCTTTTTTCTCTTTCTACCAAAAACTGGATGAAAGTCATTCCAAAAAGGTCTCTATTAACTATTCTTGAGCTAATCTGAAGACTGCATGGAGGTTGGAGGGACAGTAGCAGCTGGCCTGTGTGCTCCATGTGCCTCAGCATCCACTGACCCACTCTCTGGTTTTACATGGCCGACCAGTTGATGGCTGAGTGGCTGTTGCTTCCACTCACCCACCTCTACTTTGTTATAGTGTAGCTAACAGCTGACTGTGGCCTATTTGGTAGTGAGGAAGCCTAAATACTGGGCTTATTGTACACATCTCATGCAGTGATGTGCGGTGAGGTTCAGGTGTGTTGAAGTAGAGATGCATCTAAAAGTTACAGGAGACCGGCCCTCGAGGCCTGGAATTGCCCACCCCTGGATTAGAGGTTAGGTTAGAACTGAGTTTGAACTGAGTTTAGGACAGACTTAGGGTTAGGCATGTACTGGTAATGGTTGGGGTTTAGGGTAAGAGTCAGGCTTAGGCTGTAGAAATGATACAAAGTCAATGCAAAGTCCTTGTGAATATAGAAAGACATGAGTTTATGTGCGTGTGTGTGTGTTTTGTGTATGTGATTATCCGTCTCATTTAAATTATGTGGAGGGAGGAGACTTCCTGTCATTCCATTCATGCTCTGAAAGTCAACGTCTGGTCAGCTTATTCAACAGGAGGTCCTCCTGTCTGGCCTTTCCTTTCTCTCCTGTTATGTGCTGCTACCTGAATAGGAAACGGCCCCGAATGGCCACACGATGTCACATCCTGTGTTAAAGACCCAGGACTTCCAGTAGCCTGTTGCCTCAGGGTTAAGAATCTGGTCTTAATGGAACTCATCCCTCTGTTTGTGTATGTAGCTCTGGAGTTTCCCCTGCTGTTCTCTCATGACACATGTTGTTGTTTTATGAGCAGCATGTAATATGAACAGCAGAGTTATTAGAAAAGTCACATACCTGTCAGAATATATGAAGGATGTGTGTGTTCACCATTGAAGGAACTGTTCCTGAACATCAGCTCTGCTGGGACCTGATGGGTGTGGGCTTTATGAGATGTTGTGAAATTCTGAGGAAAATATTCCAGAAACCATAAATTGTGGCAAAAACTCACTTCTTGTTTCAAGTAATTTTTTTTTATACATTTAAAAATTCTGTTTGGTTCTTTCAGTTTGGGGAAAATACTACTGTGAAAGGGACAAAGTTCAGTTTTCTTTCTGAGAAATGTTCTCCAGGCGGCTGCAAAACTAGGAACCTTAGAGTTTAATAATATTAGCAGCTGTTTAACACAGGACCATGAAGCTGCTAGGACACGATCATGGAGTCCTCATCTTGAACATGGATATGTATGATTTTCATTCAGAGTTTCTGAGTTTTCTTTATTGTTCCATGTTCAGGGTCTATTCCCCTTTGTATAGGCTGGATTTCTGATCACAACCTTGAATTAGGGCTTGGCTAAATTGACTTATTTAGTCCATGATATTTTCTGGTAATATTGTGATAACGATAAAAGTGATGGTAAAAGCTTTGTATTACATATTTTTAGCTAGCCGTAGGGCTGTGAGTGCATGACAGCCCTATCACAGCCTCACAAATAGAGATGTCACTCCTGAAAACATTCCCATTGGAAACATGTTGCGGTCGCAGTGAAATCACGACTTTGACTACACATTTTTCAGAGGTGCAGCAAAATCTGCACTTTTAGGCTGCAGCAATCACAAAAACACCTCGTGACATCCTGGAGGGAATGATAAAGTTCTGCAGGTGTGCTTAAATCCACTGCTGCTAATAGAATCACTGTTCCAAGCTGTAAGGGTTCCAACATATTTACTCTCTCAGTGCTGAGCTTTGGCTGAGCCAACAAATGTAAGTGGGACAGAGCCATTTGTTAGTCAAAGTCAATATTTGGCAGTGATTTCCATGTTGACAGAGTCTGACCTAGATGTTGGCCACTGCAGCTGGAGCCTGGAGTGCATTTGTTTCCTAGTTGACAGTTTTGTTACTGCATCACTTAAATGACACAAATTGATGCCTTTGCTGTTACTGATTTCTACCACTTCAGAGTTTTTCTTGCATATTTTGAATGGAAAGTGGCATTTGTAAATGCAGTGGGGAAAAGGTCACAGCTTACTGTGTTAAACACTCAAAGTTTCCCTTCCATTTACCACTGGAGCATCTTTACATCACCTGTATGTTACAGAAGAGGAGTGAATCAGTGCAGTCCCTCCCTCATGAGGCAGGATTTTCCTACTTTCCCTCCACCATCCTGCTGAATAGCAAACAGGGCTTTGGGATAAACCCACATGGTTTACACAGCTGCTGGAAATTTCCTTTAAAGGAGGCAAGCTGGCTGCGAAGTGAGCCTCAGTTTGCAGGCAGCTCTCTGAGATGGCTCCTCCTCCTGCAGGACACAGAGTGATGGGAGAAAATCAAAAATGTTCTTCATATAAAAATTGCAAGCAATGAACTGACGGGGGTCAACTGGTCGCATGGAGGGCTGTAAAAATTGATCTGCTTCTTAAGCAGTTTTTCTGTTTTATTATTTTTTCTTTCTTAAATATTTCAGATCAACAAACAGATATTAATATCAAACCCTAAATGATCTTTTCATTTAGGGTTTATAATTTTTAACAAAACATATCCATATTAAACTGACCCTACCAGAAGAAGTCGTTAACATTTCATAAATTTACCACCTCAGTGTTGGAAGTCATCTGGCATTTTTGATGCAAAAGTCAGACTTTATAATATCAGTGAATGTCTCAGTTGTGGATTCATGCCTCTAATCATGGAAAATGATCCTTTTTTTCTCTTTAAATTTTATAACTTTTCACCATCAGAGAATATTAAATCTCTTTCTTGTAAAAATATTAAATTAATTTTGATCTCTTTTTTTTTTTTTTTTTTTCTACATTCAGTAGCCCAAATACGCTGTCATCGTATGGATGATCAGAATACCTTTTTTGGCAGTTAGCAGAGTTAGCATAGTTTCTAGACTCTGATTGGTTCAGATCAGACCAATGGCTGTTGTTTCCATTGCAGGTAAAATGGTGAGGTGATGTAAAAAATGTCGCGATAAACAATAAACTTAAAATAAATCGCATAACTGAAAATTATCAACCTCATTTTAATTTATCTCTATCATTTCTTCCTGCCTTTTTCTCTTTCTACTGATGACACTGGATGAAAACAGCCTTTACTCTGGCTTTCCTGACTTCTCCCTTCCTCATTTCCTTAGTGTAAGGGAGGAGTGAACTATTGCATCAGGTAGTCATATATGCCCATCTTCTCTATCTAAATCTAATGATTATTGAAGGACAATATGGTATGCAGACTTCATAATCTGTACTCTGTTGGTTGAAATGTTGTTTCCACTTTGTTTTTATGTTGTGTTCAGTTTTTATTCAAGTGCATCTTTTGTTAACGGAGACTGAGAGTCCATTTCATTTTTGTTTTTGGTTGTTTTGTTAAATTTGTTTACCAGTTCTAGTGTTAAGATTTCTTTTGAAAATAAAGTGTTTTTATTTTTAGCAGGATGTGCTGTCATGACATTATTGCATATGTCATTACCATTACATCAACTTAAAACGGTCTTCAACAATATTGTTGTTTATCGCAATAATTTTTGAAACAATTAATTGCTCAACAAACTTAGTTATCATGACAAAAAACAAAAAAATCCAGACGACCAGATATCTGTCTGCCTTCACAAATCACCTTTCGCCTTCCATGTCTTTCTGTGTGGCCCCATACTTCACCTCACTGACACCCAGGTTAGTTTTCCTGAGCTCCTAGTAGGAGCTCAGTAAACCTCCTCATATCTGTCTCAGATGTGACATTTAATTCATTTTTCTCCAACACAAAATGTCTCTTTGGTCCTTTATCAGTCCACAGTGTGTGAAGTCATTTTNTTTAGTCATTTTGACTGTTTGATCAGCAGCCAGTTGTCATTTCTGAGCCACTCTGCTGGAAGATAAATGTGACTGCCCTTTCTTGAAAGTATTTCTAACTCTGGGCTGGTTAGAGAAAGATTCCTTTGTTTTTGTTTTTGTTTTTTTCCTCATCTTCCCATTTATTTTCACTGTTCATGGGGTGTTGATGGGCTGAGCTGCTGGCAGCTGTGGCCCCTGTTGGCCGCAGACTGACCACTTGTAAAGGTCAGCAGCAGCCTGTTGGCTCCCAGGCCAGGCTGCTTTCTGGCTGCTCCTCTGCTCACAGTAGAGCTTTTGTTCAGCAGCTCGCCCTGCGCTCCACCCGGGACGCCCTGCTGAGGCGATTGGCTTACCACCGCCATGCTCTCCAGGTTTTATGTGTCACTATGTTTATCTCCACTGCAGCTGCTTCAAAATATTATGCATCTGATCATACTCTGTCCCCTAACATACTTCAGGACAGCTAACAGATTGTGGGATCGTCTCTATGCGGCTGACTCCTCCCTCTCCCTGAGATTCTCCGGCTAGATTGCTGAAATGCGAACAGGAAAATAATTTACTCACAGACAGCCCTTCCATCCTGTCTGTCTTTTCCTTGCCTAATGTTATCAGTTGCTTATTTAAGAAGAAGGAGATGTGGGGGGGTGCAGAGGGGTCATTTCCTGTGTGAATCTGAAACATGTGAAGAATGTCTGGCTGCAGAAGACTGCAGCAGAAATGGAGATGATAAACATCTGCAGATTGTGTCAGTTTGGCCTGAAGAAGGCGATTAGAAACCCAGTGGAGCATTCTTCTGCTCTCTCCCAACCAAACCAGTCACTCTGTCCCTGTTCTTTGTCTTGCAGGAGAATCTGGCCTGGGGAAGTCCACACTGATCAACTCGCTCTTTCTCACCGACCTATACTCCCCAGAGTATCCCGGTCCTTCCCACAGGATTAAAAAGACTGTCCAGGTAGAGACACTCATGGAGGGCTGCTGTCCACTTGTCTCTGTCTCACCTACTGCAGTTTTGTCATTCTCTCTGTCTCTCTGGATTTATATTGTCATGATAATGAAACATTTCAGTTTTATTGTATGAAGCTAAAGCTTAATGAGGTTTGCTTTACTCTGACACTAGAGTGTATCAGTATCCAACCTGGGTGCTATGGTAACAGCAAGGCACCTATCTATTGCAACAGACAAGATTGAGGCAATATTTTCCTATAACATTTTCATTATGTTTCTCTAATGTCCTGCAGCCGACTGGGCAACATAGTAATTAATAAGGTGAGGCTGATACAGACTGGAAATATTTGCATGTATTCCAGGTTATAATCTGTCTGTATTATATTGAGTCAGGCTTTCTTCTGCATCAAACGTTACTGATTTTGATTTCCCATCGAAGCTTTCCCATCAAAAGTCTGAATATTATTTCTGAACATGAAGTTCTACAAACTGACTGCATTATTAAAGGATAGCTGCTGCTATAAAGAACGAGGAGACGGTTTGTGTAATCTCTGCATAATTATTGTTAGGTTCCAGGACCGCAACCACTTAATCTCATTTGTGACCATGATTGAAGTCAAAACTTTGGAACTAAACGCACCCAGATGTGTTGTTGTTTGAGCTGCAAAGTATAAGTGTATCTTTTCATTGCGATATGAAATAAATCTATAGCCAAACCAACATGTTTATTGGAAAATGAATAAAATGTTTTTTGCAACAGTTAGAAGCTAACTGTTGGTCTTGATTTTTATTTTTTTACCATCAGATAGTAATCTGATGGTAAAAAACGTTTTTCTCGGATGAAAATCCGTTTTTGACGGATTCAGATGAGAATAATATAAATTAACTAACATGGCTGACATGGTTTTACATTATCATGGAATCTTACACAAATATAAAAATGCAGTTAATATTCATATAAACTTTTAATAAAGGGTAGTTTCTGTTTGACATTACTTGCGATTAAACATTTCCTTTTCAGATCAGTTAGAATTACTAAATGCTTTCCATTTTTTATTTTTTTTACCACTTAACATACAATATACATATTTAGCTACAAGCTCTTTGAAAAGTGACTTTAAGGATTGCGATGTCAGAAAAACAGGAAAGGTGATGTCAAAAGCTTGGTTTTTGATAGACTTCCCTTCAAACTGTTTGACTTGGGTCACGTTTACTGGTTTCCTTCTACAAACTTCTCCCAATAGTTTGCTGGAATTTTGTCCCATTCCTCCTGTCAGAACAGGTTAGCAGCCCTCACTCCTTCTCACACATTTCCCATAATCCAGAGATCAGGACTTTGTGACATTCATTCTAAAACATGGACTTTACTGTGCATAAGCCCCTCACTAAGTGATCTGGTGCGATGCTGTGGACGGTGTCCATTTGGACGACCCACTTGGGTCCACGCTTTAACTTCCTTGGTGATGCCTTGAGATGATTTTTCCAACCGGACTCCAGCTTTTTTGTACACAGCAGCAGTCCCTCATGCAGCTAAGCATACCTACAACATGATACTGCCACCCCGTACTTCTCAGTTGGAGTGTTCTCAGGCTGCAAAGATACCCTTTTTTCTTCAGATGTAACAATGGTTGTTATGGCCAAAGCATTTCATTCTAGTGTCATTAGACTCCAAGGCAAGTCTCCAAAATAAACCTATTTGTATCTCGGTGTAGTTGAGAATTTTTTTCATGTAAAGAGCTTAAATAGAACCACTTTTATTTGACTGCAGGACACCACATGAAGTTCTAGGGGCAGCATACGCTCCATTGCCTGCCATCAACCTAAATGCAGACTATGCAGAGCAGAGCCAATCAGTGGCTTCAATAATGGCACTACTGCAATGAATGAGACACAACACAAACACCACAGGGCTGTGCTGCATTTCACTGCAGCTTGACTGAACTTACAGATGAACTTGAGGTTTGTGTGATAGTTTTATTTTCAATCTGTGAATGTAGTTTAACAGGAAGGTTATATGAGGCTTTCAACTTAAGGATTCTTAGATTTAGAACCGTAGATGAACTGTACTTGTGGAGGAATTCAGTTCTCCTCCTGATATCTTGGCTGCATAATGATTTTTAAATGATGTCTCAGTATGTTTCATTTGTTGCTTTGAAATGCATGCACAGGTGTGCATCTGGTTAAAGCTACAGTATGTAACTTTTCTTAAAAAAGAAAAAAAAAAATTTTTTTTTACCTTTGTCAAACTGTCACTATATCATGACAGCAGTAGATAGATAATCTGTGTATAATGAATGTTTTATGACCTGGTAAGAAAAATCTAGAAGCTGGAAGGTTAAAATCAAGATGTTTAGTCTGATTTAATACTTACTGCCACCCTTCCTGTTGCACCAGATTTTAGTTGGTGATTATTTCAGTTTTAATAGAGAAAGAACAACTTTTTCTGACGTCAAGCAGTTTAAAGATTAACTGCTAAAAATAACGGCTTTGCAGCAATGTGTGTTTATAATGAACTCATACTAGTTCATCACAGAGAAGAACTAGTTTGGCCACTCAGAACATGGTGGATGCAGGATATATTCTGAAACAATAGCTTGTTTTCATTTTTTATGTGCTGTGGACCAGGGATTTTATGAATAACTTTATCTGATAGTGATATAACGTTGCCAGGTTATCTTCTACAGGATAAATGAATGCTGGATGTAATAGCTGGTTTTGGTTGATGTTTCTCTGCAGATGTTTTGTAATTGAGCCAATTAGACCCACTGCTGCAGTGATGGTAGATCTGCTCCATGTCAGTGTGTGTTGGGCCTCAAACCAAATGAGCTCCTGCTATGACAAGCATATTCTACTGAAGTATATTCTACTTCCCTGAGCCAGGAGCTTTGTGTTAGGCCCCATGTAGGCCTGGATTAAATCCTATTTATTGGCCTCATTTCTCAAAGTGACAAAGATCCTTCATACTTTTATATTTCTCATGACTTCCTTCAAACATCATCTTCAAAACAGTGATGAAAGCAACATCCTCTTCCTGTATTTGCTACACACACAAAGTATGACAGAAATCTTCATTAGTGAGTTTAACTTGACAAGTTAAAGCTTCAGAAGAAAACAGAATGAACCCAGAAAACTGCTGTATCATCCACCACGTGATTTGTTCAATTTTTCACTCACTGTTTCTGTTTGATTGATGGGAGAAAGAGCCCTTCAGAGATTTTAATTCAATTTCTCCCACTTCCTCTGGTATATATTTAAAAGTAAAATGCTGAAGTTGTCCTGATTATGACAAATAAAGGAAGCAACAACGCTTATGAAAGCAAGACTTTCAGTTTTCTGTAGATGGTTCTAGATGTCTGAGTTCTGTATTTTCAAGTGAATCTTTAGGCGTTGCTTCTGCTTGCGGTGGCAGATGGAGAGGGATCACTAACAGCCCACACCTGTAGCTTGAACTGCAGCTTCCTGTTGAAGGAGAACAAGTGAAGCAGTTGGTGTAAAGAAGGGGGGGACCTCGCCCTGCTCTGTTCATTCGGATCTTCTACTTTACTCTAAATCTCAGCTAATTCCTGGCAGCATACTGAGGGTCTCCGTCTATCCTCAACCCACTGCTGCTTCCAATTTGTTTACACCCCTGAACTCTTAAAGGAGATTTAGGATGCGTGCGTGCGTGCATGCGTGCGTTTCCATAGACTTTATGCTTCAGGATTCACCCCTTGCTTCAGTCCTTGGGTAATTGGGGGCTTTAAGTGAAGCTTACTGGTAGATCACTGAGATGATTACAACAGAGAACAGACAGCTCTTGTTCTTCAGCTCTCCAGGAACCACAGACTGAAGATTTGGACACATTTGTGGTTCCTTTATTGGCAAAGGCTGCCAGAATGTGATGACACTGCTAGGAATGCAGTTTGTCATATAATCCAGTTGAGTAAGTCTGGGTGTTAGCTGGACGTGAGAAAACCTGGGTGGGTGTCTTTGTAGTTCCTGGCTAATTTGAGTGCAAGAGGCAGGGACTTGGTGATTAGCCAACAAGCTGCCTGGGGAATGAGTGCATTCTTGTCCCACTGACGCACAAACACGTCCTGGGTTCTAGTTCAGGAACTAGTTCACTGAAGAGTTAGTTTCATTTAGCTCAGGACAAGCATGTACAGGTGTGTCATATAGGGGTGGAATCTTTTACTATCTTGCAATTTGATTTTGACTTTTAGGGCAGCAATTTCATTCACAATTTTCGAGTCAAAACAATTATTCATAATGATTTATACTTTAATCTAAAGGTATGCAGTCTTTGTAGTTATTTAGTGAATAATCATACAAATGTACATAATTCTTCATCACAACAGATCAGTATTCATTTCCTCTGTAGATAGAGAATGTCCTGCATGGATAGAAAATGGAGGCCAACAAACATTGGATTTGTTTTATTTTTTAAAATCAATTTGACATTTTAAATTAAACATTTTTAATCGAAGTAATGAGAATCAGGATTCTTATGTGAATTGATTTATTTATTTTTTTTGTTTTTGGCATTCCTCCAGTGTCATAGGTCAGAGTACATTCTGTTGGGATGTTAGTCATTGGGAATCTGTTCTTAAGTCAGTGTGTACCAGTCGACTGTACTGGATCCTTGGCATTGTGGGAAATTGTTTGATTTGACAGTTTGATTTGTCTGTGGAGAACAGCTGAACATTTTTGACATGTCATGAGTCATTTGTACTCATATGTACGTAACAGACTGAACCTGTACACTAAGAGTTATTACCTAAACCACATGCTCACGACCAGCTGTGTGTATTGATGTCAGGTGTTGGAGGCCCCTCTGAAAGCCACATCATGCTGCCACCTCCTGCAGGACCACAGAGATGCTTTTGGACAACTGAGGACATTTTCATTTCCTTTTCTCACCTTTCAGCTTAGAACCGCTTGTGTGTTTTCACTCTGCCTCAGCTCCAGTTGTGTTGATCTGCTTTTTCTATAGCTCCTAGCTGTTGATGCTAATTTTAGCTGATTTTGATGTGCCTTTATAAACTAGAACATTAGAAAAAACAGATGCATGATTAAAAATCTCTTTTCTGACCTTGTGAAAACAATCACTGCAAACTGGGCTTTACTTATCCTAGCATCTTATATTAGCCATTAGCATGGCTATCACTAGAAAACCATCAGTCTGTGTGTATTTCCCAGAGAATTGATTCCCTTGTCTCTGCTCTGATAAAATAAAAAGGATAAGAGAGAGCAACTTTGCTGAAGGTCTGTTCAGCCTTCCTGTTATCTGCTCTCTCTGTCTCTCTTTGAACCATTGAACCGGATGTGGTAGAAAACACTCTTCTTTAAAAAAACAAAAAAAATCTGAAGTCTTTGTGCTTACTCTGACTTCATCTTTAAACATCTTACTGATTCTGCAAACTGAAAACTTTGAGTTTTCAACACTAGGAATGTGCATTGAAGAGTGTTGCTTATAGAAGTGACTATAGGAGAATTTCTGGCTTCTTTAAATTTATATGTACTGAGACTAGGAGCCCTGGATACTTTCTGCCCTGAAAAACCTTATAAAGAAGTATACCTACCTTGAATAGAGAAAGGAACAATGTTTGGAGCCCAACTGGAAAAATGCAGCTGCTTGAGGCTCCAGGTAGCTGCTTGGCCAGGCTGGTTTGGAAAATACAGTGAAGTATGATTGGAAACTGAGTTTCACCATAGCTTTTCTTTTACTTTAAAATCTGCTCTGATGACCTGGTAATCATGTGTTTGGACCACATGTTACATAACTGCATTACTCACCCAACATCCTGGGAAACTGACCAAATCATCCAAATAGACGTAAAGCAACATAAAGAAGTATTTGATGAATACATGAATGAATTAGTGGAGTTTTCATTAAACTAAGTTCAACTTCTAATGGATGCCTTGGTTCAGTTTTGGAAATTTAATGTTGAATCAAATCACATATGGTTGAAAAGTAAAGTGTTCATCTTTGTGTAATATTATGAATAAACTGTTTAGTTTCAGCCACATGATGAGGCTAATATTAGCTTCCAGTGTGGGACTCTTTGAAAACCCCCAGTCATAAAAGTGACAGCAGATAACATCAGTAGAACTGAGGCTAGCTTATCTGGGTGCAGGAGGTGCAGAACATGTTTTTACAGGAAGGAAGTAAAGGATGACTTGGTAGATTGTTTTGCTTCAGAACACATGCAGAATGTGCTCCTGTCTCACCGGGACAGTCCTTCTCCCCCTGATGCACCTAAGCAGGAAGGCGGATCTGGTCTCCAGCTTTTTCCCATGAGCTCACTGTTTTTATGGGGCGTGTCTGGGGATTGAGTTAGCCCTGTTGCGCAGTAGCTGGAAGTCTGTTTCAAGCTGTCTCCACAACAATCCTACTCACTTACACGAAGGTCAACCAGTCAACATCTCCATAAGTCTTTTACTTTGAAACATAATAATTTATGGTTTGTTTTAAATTAAGTACTCTTAAATGAATGCAGTTATGTTTTTTGTTTTCTGTTTTTCAGCCTTCCTGGTGGGAATTTTAAATATGAATTGTTGTTTTTAATTTAAATTAGCAGTGACACTTTATTTGATGGAGTGTGTATAATACAGACATGTCACTGTCATAAACATGACGCAACACCTGTTATGAACATGAACGAGTCTTTATGAATGTCTGACTGTTATCATGAAATGTCATTCGGTAAATAATGACACTTTTAATGCAAAGTTGCATTGAAAGTCCATTAAAGAGCCAACTCTGCATTATTTTGTAAATAATGACACTTAGTTGGCACTTTGTCTAATATAATGAATAAACCATATAGAATCAGCCACGTTGGAGTGAAGGAGCATCGTTCTCTTCCTGACAAGCAGTGACTTTAAGGTGTAGCTCTAAAATGCAGCCACTGGTGAGCCGCTTGTGAACTCAAGCATTGTGAATGAACCAATCAGAAGTTTAAAATGCTGTTGCATCATTTGGGCTTACCAAATAGGAATAGTAATAAACTTCTGGCTTTGAAGTAATGAAAAATAATTATTTTAATTCTGTTTGGGAACCCAAACTAATTTTCATCAACCTATCTCACCTAATTTGTCTTCTGGATCTGCTCAAAAACAAACAGACTCAAAGAACAGTCTGTCTGAGTCTGAACTTTCACATGTGCTAATTATTTGTTGTGTATATGTGTATATATAAATTTAACTGACTTAACACTGTAAATACCACCATATTTATGTGTATATTGCATATATTTCTTACATTGTTTGCACTGTTGTGGAGCTGGCTTTAACCTCGTTGTACATGTGTACAATGACAAACATTACATTCTAATTCTGACCAACTGGCTGCATCTCGTCTCTCACTCAGAGGTTTCCTGTTGAAAGCAGCATGAGGGAAGCCGAGGTCGGCTTGAGATCTGCTGATTGAATCAAAGTTGATCTGCTGATCACGAGTTGTGTCTCGACCCCACACTGGTCTGCTGATCAAAGCCCACTCTACCCCTCCCCCCAACCTTATTGATGCCTTCAGAGGCATCTTTGTTCTCTTGGTTCTTCCTCACCAAACAAACATGATCCGTGCTGCTCTTACTTGTTATGTTGAGGGTTCTTCCATTGCTTTATGGGAACTTCCATGTTGTGATTGCTCTGTTTGTTTTTTTTCCCCCAAGTTTTCCTCAACAAAGTGTTGTTTCTAAATGAGACTATAACCAACACAAATCCCGTTTTCTGCATTTGTTCTCATTGATGACAGGTGGAGCAGTCCCAGGTTCTGATAAAGGAAGGAGGGGTCCATCTTCTGCTGACCATCGTCGACACGCCTGGCTTTGGGGACGCCGTAGACAACAGTAACTGGTGAGCTCATCCATATGATACTGTTGATGGCTGCAAAAGTATTCATTTTGCTTAATATTTTCCCCTTTTTATCTGGTTCTAGCCACAAACGTTTGTGTATTTTATTTTAATGTTCTGTGATAAAACAACACAACGATGAATATAAATGTGAAGTGGAAGAAAAATTATTTGTGACTTTCAATATTTTTTACTAAAAAACACCTGAAAAAGAGTGTTTTGATGTTTCCATCAATAAAATCCACTGGCAGGAAGAACTGCCATCTGCAGTTCAGCAGTAGCCATGTAGAAGGACATGGCAAATAAATGACTGGTGCTGTGTCTGGTGAAAACACTGCATATTACTGATACCATGTCCCCATGGTGAAACGCGGTGGTGGCAGCATCATCATGGGGGAAAACTTTTCTTCAGCAGAGAAGCTGGTCAGACTTTCTGGAAAATTGGATTTAGCAAATTTTGGAAAGAAACTTTGTAATCAGTCAAGGAGCTTCAGCTCTCAGCATGATAGTCACAGTAAATATCCCACCATAACTATAATCAGGTAGTAAAGAACAGAATGGCCCAGTGTTGAGCTCTACAGGCAGACAGGCTTTCCATCTGAGCCAAATGAAATTGAGCTGGTGGTTTATAAAAGACAGAGGAAGCAAGTTTATGTTGAAAGCTGCTCGCCCTGTGAAACCTGCTTCTAAACAGTATTCATTTAGGGAGGATGAACACAAATACGCACCAAATTCTTCAGATTACAATCAGTACAAAAGTTTGGAAACCATGTATAATTTTCCTTCTACTTCACAATCCTTGACTGCTTTGTGCTGGTCTGTCACATGAGATTCCAATAAAATACATACAAGTTTGGCAAGTTTATAGATGCTAGACTGTAGAGCAGAATGTTAGACATCCATCTTTTTTTTTTTTTTTTTGCTCTGATATTTAACCTTGAATTCTAATCCCCCTCTCAAGCTGGCAGCCGGTGACCGACTACATCGACAATAAGTTTGAAGACTTCCTCAACTCAGAGTCACGGGTCAACAGACGGCTGATGCCGGACAGCAGAGTGCACTGCTGCCTGTACTTCATCGCTCCGTCTGGTCATGGGTGAGTGCTGCTGGGCAGTTTCAGGTTGTGATTGCTAACAGGACGCTCTGTGTGTTTACACTTCCAACCCGGCTGACTGCTGGCCATGCTCAGGGCAGTCCTGCCTGCGGTCTCCTAGCTGGCTAAGCGGCTGGAATAATATTGGTGTAATCTGCCCTGAGCTCACTGACCTGGAGACCTCATTCCTCTCATCTGCTGCTGCTGCTGCCAAACTTCCTCACACACACACACACACACGCACACACACACACACACACACACACACAACAGGCCACACAGGACTCCTTAACCAGAAGAGGGTTTTGTTTTTGATGCTTGTTGAGCCCTTTGGCCCACAGTGACCCGGTGTGCTGGACTGTGTCCACCTCTGAGGTCCACCACCATATGGGCTGAGTTTATTTGCAGCACCTGCTGCTGAATGGGGAGTCTGGGTTTCTGCTCCTCAGACTGTCAGAACAACAGCTTTTATAGGCTGGGAATGTGTCCTAAACATGTTGATAACAATGCTGATTCTGATTCAGATATTGTTGACCTTCTATTGTAATAAGTTTGTGTGTGTAATGGTCCCAGTCAGGTGCCTGAGTCAGTGCAATTCATTGTCTGTAGTTCTGGTTTTGAGACCCACCAGACCCTGTCTTAGACACTCTATGGCAGCAAACTGACAGCTGCACATGGGCTCCTTAAATCTGCCACAGCATACAGATCAACATTGCTTTATGAATGAACCCAGTATCATGAATTCTTGTCTGTCCTACTAACTGAAACCTTTTGACTTGCTCCTGTCTCTAGGCTGAAGCCGCTAGACATTGAATTCATGAAGCGGTTACATGAAAAAGTAAACGTCATTCCCCTCATCGCCAAAGCTGACACAATGACTCCGGAAGAGTGTCAACAGTTCAAAAAACAGGTGTGTGTTTTACTGTCTGCCTGCAGCTGCACTCAGCCTCCTCTTCAGTTCTACAGTTTTACCGAGTTCATGTGATCCACTGCCGTTTCTCTTTACTAGTTTCCTTTGAATCATGAAGGCATCCTCAGGCTGTCCCTCCTAACACTAACATTGTTTTTTTGTGTAACTAAAAGAAGCACGTTTAGTGTTCTAAAGGTGTTCTAAACCCAACAAATACACCTTAAACTTGTTGATTAAAGACTAGTTTAAATAACTGAATACATTATTACTGCTCTGTTTGGGTCTGCATTTGCCCAAAACAAAGCCTGGGAGTACTTACTAGCATAGTGTAGCCAGGAGCAATAGGGAGGATGTGAGCAGCGCTTACACAAGGATGATTGACATCACTTCTTTCTGACTGGTGTGTTTCTACAGATGGCAGTAGGAGCTCAGAGAGGAGGCAGAGATGATCTGCCTCATGTTCTACTGTCAAGACATAGTGACAGTTTTAGCAAATATGTTTAAAAAAAAGACCTACATCAGAATTACATCCTGCAGTTTTAACAGGAAACATTTACCTCTTCATCATACACACATATACCTGGATACTGGTCCAACCCACACAGTTTCATGCTCACTACAGAAACCACAACATTTGAATTGTCAGTCACTGTGATTGTAGCTGTGACTTCAGGACACAGAATTCATAGCTTCCTGTTGATTTCTCTGTTCTGTCATGGTTGATATTATTTTTTGCTCCACCTACTTTTCTTCCCTTTAAGTCACTTTTGTCATGTTTGATGTTTTATATATATATATATATATATATATATATATATATATAATGAATTCCTCATCCAAACTGTCCTGATTATACCGTATTAAAGAAACAGACCTAGTTATTATTTGATAATTGTCGTGACAGATTATTTTCCTGTTGATGCTATAAAGTGTTTGAGATTCTGCATCAGCCTGCAGGATTTTCAATGCACTCTAATAAATCTCATAGACTAGATACAGGTTTGTGTTGTTTAATGACACTGATAACAGCTGCACTAACGCTGCTTTATAACGTCAGAGTGTCTCGTTAGAGCAACCTGGCTGATGGTCTGAGCCCCCTGTTGTGTATTGACCCCTTCAGCTGTAACTATTGATGTTTCTGGGTGTTTGTCTCACATCCCACACCCCTCTGTTCCTGTGCTGCATGCAGATCATGAAAGAAATCCATGAGCATAAAATCAAAATCTACGACTTCCCAGAGACAGACAATGAAGAGGAGATGAAGATGATAAGAAAAATTAAGGTCAGCTCCTTCTTGACGCTCCTCTGAGACTTTTGAAATGATTTCAGATGCATGCTTGTGGTCATGGGTACATGTGTCTCTAGCCATGTAACCGGTGTCCTCTCCCTCCTGTCTGCAGGACCGTTTACCCCTTGCTGTAGTCGGCAGCAACACGATCATCGAGGTCAACGGGAAGCGGGTCCGGGGCAGGCAGTACCCCTGGGGCGTGGCTGAAGGTGAGAGCTGTTAGCTCATCAATAGCAGCCAGTGGGACGTCCCACTCATAAACACCTCACAGTTTCCACGCATGTTGAGCTGCTGACACACTGGATAAGCTACTGGCTGCAGGACAGCCAGTAGCTTATCACTAAGAGAAACGCATAATGTAGATTTTTTTTCACAAATGCAAATTCTTATTCTGATGCACATTGTCAACTTCCTAAAATAATAGACTAAAAGTTATTTTGGCAAAGAAATTCCCCCGTTTTATTGCCAAAAGATGATTTAGGCGAAAAAAATCACTTTTGGAAAAAAAAAGACCAAGGCCATTATTTTAGGAAGGTGACGATAATGAAATGTACTGAATCAGAGAGAGAAAAGAAGAGAGAATGTGAATCAAACATATTGAAATGTGTGGTTATATGTGACAGTCATGTGGTGTGAATATTATTGAAATGCATTTTGAATATTGTAAGTTCCCAACATCAGCTTGTTCCGTTTTTGATGACAAGATGACTAACTTGTAGCATATAAAGTTGGCATAACTTCATATGCCTTAACTCTAACCTTTAAAACTACATTTCTGTATATAGCTCAAGTGAAGAAAAGCTTAATCAGAATAAAAGATTGTTACTCTGAGGCAGGCAGCAGGACAGTCTACAGATTTCATTTGCTCAGAGGATGTGAAAGTCTCATGCTGTTTGACATGACACAGGAAGCTGCCGTGGCTCTGTGGGAAGACCTGTCGAACATCTGCAGCACACAGAGCAGCAGATGACTGAAGCAGCAAACACAAATTAAACATCATAAAGAATCTGCTTGGATCAATATGGAAAAACCAAGCCGAAGGACTGAACACAACACGGCCAATTAGATGAGTTGTAGGCGTGCTGCTATGAAACTGGTTTTGGGCGAGGGTTGGCCGTCCTCTGGGAGGGAGATCTGGAATACCAAAAATGTTTTTGGCAACATGTCAGCATAAATATAAGAGCAGGCGGGGAGAAAGCGAGGTGGAGGGCAAGGTCCCTGAGAAGCTATGCAAGTCACTCTACCACAGAGAAACCTCAGAGGACTGTGGTGAGCTTCACTGTAGAGGAATGCATGGGATGCCACACTGTGGCATGTTACAGTACTGCAGCAGGCAGGCTAGTTTTTACCTCGCTTAGTTCCACACTGAGCTGCTGCCTGGTGCACATTTAGATGTAAAGAATAATGACTTGGTTTTCAAGGAAAAGTCAGAGTTTGGGAACACTGTGACACCTCACTGTTAGCAGCTCTGTTTCAATCATTCCTCTTTTATCTGCAGTTGAAAATGGAGACCACTGTGATTTTACTATTCTCCGTAACATGCTGATAAGGTGAGTGAAAGCCCACATCTCTCTACAGCTTTTACAGCCTAAACAACCATTTTTACATGCAGGACAGCCAGTTAAATGTCATTTAGAGCCACAAATTCTACATGACTTTCTGAAAAATGATTTTAGATGAATGTCTTCTACAGGAAATGTGTTGTCCTTTTGAAAGACCCACCATTTGATTTCTATTTTTAGGATTTAAAATAACGATCAAATGATAAAGGACTAGAACCTATGTTTGTTGTTATATCCAAAATTAAAAATATTAGCTCGTTCTTAATTTTTTGCCGGAGTTATTAAGAACCATTGTTGCAGGTTGCAGACCCCTGGTTTACATGAACTCACTCGTATGACATTGCAGCTTACCAAACGAAAAGTCCTGTTGAGTCATCCCATAGAGGAGGTAATAGATTTCTTCTTGGTTTCAGGACTCATATGCAGGACCTGAAGGATGTCACTAACAACGTCCACTATGAGAACTACCGCAGCAGGAAGCTGGCTGCTGTCACCTATAATGGAGTTGACAACAATAAGAACAAGGGCCAGCTAACGAAGTGAGTTTACCACACCAACCTCCTACAGGTCACATTAATGAAGAAAAGGCTCATAGGGTTGGCTTAGCAGCCCAGCTGGAGGTTCTGGGAGCTGATTGCTCCCAGTTTGACCCTGAAGTTCCTTTTAGACCACAGACTGACTAAAGCTTCACTGATTCCTTATCCAAACAAGCCAGCACTAACCCCCACTAACTGGTCATCAGCTGGATTTAATCCAACTCTATCTGAGGCACCATCTGACTGCTAAACCAATAGCTCCAACTGTCTCTATTCACCAGCACACTGTCACAAGCTAATGCATGATTTATGGCAGCATGCTAAGTGTCTGTGCGTTTCTTTCTTTCTTTGTTTTTAGACCTGACACACCTGATGGCATGTAAGTTACCTCACTTCTTCACTCCCTTGAGAAAAGGCTCCAGCTTCACCTCTCTTGACTCCTATCTTTTTTTCAACTGCATTGCTTTTAATCTGTTTGCTCTCTATGAAATCTGGGGGGTTTTATCAGGGAATGCTAGATCCATGCCAGGTAGAGGAATTGGGTGAATACAACATGAGATGAACATGAAACCTAACATGCTTGTTTTCTAAAAACTGAAGAAACTTAGGGTTCATTCTCACCAGCCGTTTAGCCCACTTTAATTCCAACTGCAGTTTGTTTGTCTAGAAAGTCTGGTTCATTTGGGGAGATGTGAATGTAGGTCCTGATCAAACTAAGCCAGGCTTGGTGACTGTTTGCTGTCTGGAACACAGAGATAGATGTCGACAGAAAACCAGGGAGTAAAGACATCAACAGAAATGTGCTATGAGAAAACATTGTTGTTTCTCATCATTATGAGGTCATTTCCAAGTTCATTTGAAGTTCATTATTCTACAAGAAGAAAAATTATTCAGAAGATGAGAACCTTCAAGACATTTCCAATCTTCCCAGTGACAGACATCAGAGAAAACCAGATCTCCATCTGTCACAATTCACATGGCAACTAATATTAAAAAATTCATGAACGGATATTTCTGGATTGGAAGAGCTTTCTGCGAACCAGAGTTGGAACTTGTTGGAACTTTGAGGATAAAGTTCTTTGGAGATCAAACTGAAGATGTTAAGTCACAATACACAGTATGACATTTTAATCACAGCATATCAGTACAAGTACCTATTACCAACTGTCGTAGTTCTTTGGGCTTGTGGTGAGCCAGCTACAAACTCCATTGTAAACTTCCGTCTTCTAGATTGAAATGTGAGGCCGATTCTCCTACAGCTAAGGATTTATGAGACCTTCCAGGAAACAGCCGATCATCTGAAGCAGAGCAGCTGGAGGACAACTGACTGAACTGTTGGAAGAAATCTGTGGGTTAAAATGTCGGAGAGCAATAAGAGACTGGAGAGGTCTGAGCAGAACAAGTTACTGCTGCTGAATGTGGAGTTACAAGCTGCATGGAGCAGACCTGCTGGGTTCACTCACAGCCTTGGTTTGTGTTCACACATCCTGTTTTGCTGTTCATCTCACCTTGCATTTACCTTACTCCTAAACCATTCATTGTTGGACATAGATGAATATTTTCATCTGGAATCAATAAAACCTTTACAAATGCTAAAACATTCAGCTGTGTAAGCTAGCTGTGTAAGCTAGCTGTGTAAGCTAGCTGTGAGCTAGCTCTCGGCCTAGCTGGTGAGCATTAGAATCACCAGCTGGCCCAGGTCATGATGACACTTTACTGGATGATAAATTGTCCCAGAAATTATGCTGTTAAACCATATTGTCATTTTTTGACCATTTTCAACTAATATAGTTATAATAAATGAAAACCAATGCACACCCTCTGAAAAAAACATCCATTTATAAAATCATTTAACAGTGGAACTAGAGAAAACATTTTAAATATTCAAAATAAATGAACAAAACAACATTAGCTAAAACAGATAATTAGTTATTATGTTTCAACAATATTAATCCATTCAGCTTAGGGAGGAAAAACAGGCAAGAAAAAAAGAGGAAACTAACCACTTGGTTCTGGGTGTCAAATGTTTGCAGCATTAAAGGGAAGTATCTCTTTGAGCTCATTATTAATTTATCGTGCGGTTAGTTGTTTTGTTGCTTATGATGACACAAACAGATCATTTATAATCACCAATATGTTATGTATAAATCCCCCCTCAGCTCCCACTGGCCCTTCCAGGCAGATGTTAGAATGCTGATCGTTGTGTTTCTCAGAGATCTGGCTGGAAGTCAGAGGGAGCGTAGTTCATCTGGGTGACTGTCTGGTTTTCAGCCACCAGGAGAGCCTTCCCAATACATCATAATGAATATCAATGAAATGATATTAGCTTCCATACCTTCTGCTCAGAGGGAAACAAGAACCCCTCTGTCTGTGTGAAACTCTGGCTTCAGGTTTGTTCTGCTTCTTTTCTCTGTCAGCTCTCTCTGAAAGCAGTCTGCCAGAGAAGGCTTCCAATGACAACAGTCATCTAGAGCTTTCCCTCCTTTTCTACGTCTAGTGTTGGAAATTGTTCCTCTGAGAGGTGAGGAGCCTGTGATCGACTGCTGTGTATGAACTTGTGTCCTTTTCTCCAGGAGTCCTCTAGCTCAGATGGAGGAGGAGCGGCGTGAGCATGTGGCCAAGATGAAGAAGATGGAGCAGGAAATGGAGCAAGTGTTTGACATGAAGGTCAAAGAGAAGATCCAGAAGCTCCAAGACTCTGAAGTGGAGGTACATGGCTGGGGTGGGATTAAATCTGTTTGTTTCCCTGAGCAGATCTCAGAATGGATTCTATTGTCTCTGCAGCTCCAGAAGCGTCATGAGCAGATGAAGAAAAACCTGCAAGCTCAGTACAAAGAGCTGGAAGAGAAGCGGCGTCAGTTTGAGGAGGAGGTGAACACCTGGGAGACCCACCAGAGGATCCTGGAGCAGCAGAAGCTAGAACTTAACAGGTAATGGAATGGAATACATCTTTATTTGCGTTCAACACAGAATATGTCAGAGGGGGAAAAAATAATGAGAGAAATAATAATCAAACTTTAAAAACAAAAAAAGTTTGCTTTTAAACTTTTATCTAGTTCAAAAACATTTTGAATTGGATATGCTTTTCAACATAGTTATTGATTCATAATATGTTTCTCAAATAACAATATGTATCACAAAAGACGCGATGAATATCAATAGAAGATACATCTGGTAGAAAGTTAAATAATTTTGCTGAAGTCATATTCAGCATCACACAGCATTCTAGAAGATGTAGGCAGATTAAAGACTTTAGCCACTCAACCTCTTACCATCAGCTAAGCTAGGTTGGTGGCATCCAGGGGCGGATCTAGAAAAATATTTATGGGGTGGCAAGAGGGGGGCAGGGATTTTTTTCTGGGGTGGCAGTATATATATATATATATATATATATATATATATATATATATATATATTGTTTTTAACTTGCATTGTTTCAAAATGAGCTTCATGTAGCACCGAGGCTTAAATACAATTTCTTAATATAGTATAGTTAATTATTTTTACATCTTTCATACTCCTGCTAATTGATATGTATTACTGGACTGGACAGCGCCTATTGGTCACTATGTGATTCATTGTGTCCAGAAAACCATTTTATCCCAATATAGGACAAGGAGAAATCTGTCACGAAAATATTAGTATCGCCATCATTTGTTATTAGATATATCTATTAAATACAACTTAAAATAAATATTAAAAAACTGATGTTTGATAAATTCTCCATGATACAAATCTATAAACAATTTAGTTACTGTTAGTTCTGTCAAGATGCAAGAAGGGGCGAATTTCTATTTATATTGGTCAATCGTTTTATTTTAAATATGCTGTAGGAGCCGTAGTTTGACGACTGTTATAAATATCACCACGTTTTGCGAACACAGGGGATTAGATCAGTTTTTGTCGCTTGTTTTTAGGAATTGCAGCGGCTGCAGTGCACCACAATAAAGCTACAATAAAGCTGATAAACAGGTGAAGAACCAAACTAGCTAGAACCACTTCTGACTGACTGACAAGCCAAACATCCAATAAAAGTTCCACCAAGCCTCTACTAAGGCACTGGGTTCAGGTTTCTTGACACAGGCAAAAGAAGGTTCAATGTCCAAACTTATTGATTGTTCTTGGTGATTTATTTTCATCTTTAACCAAACAATTACAGAGTTCAAACTTCCATTTGTTGTCATGCTACCACTCTTGCTCTGGTAAAAAACCATCGGCCCCAAACCCAAATGCCTGCTGGTCCTTCAGGCCCCTAGCTTATAGAAAGTGGACTGACCCACATTACTTCCTGTCTAAATTTAGAAAATAAGAAAAATAATGAAACAAAAAATAAATAAAATCAACAATTATCAACCTACAAATAAACTTAGTAAATAATACAAAAAATATAAATTTAAGAATAAAGTAACAAAATTCAAATGGATAAAGAAATAAAGAAAAAAATAACTCCAACAACTTCTATTCCGCCTTTTCTCGCTCTGTATGTCAGTATTACACACGACCCGTTGCCATGGCAACCAACAAACAGCTCAACGAGCAGATAGAGCAGAGATTACCGATCAGGGGAATCAACACCAAAAATAAAATTTCCCACACAAAAAAGTAGCAAAAACACTAAAACAGAACATCCAGTCTGTTACATTATGCTGTCAGGCTTAATGTCTATATTGTGATTATTAAGTTTTCGCCTGAGCACAGCGGTGGTTGATTAACTGATTTAAACAGCTGCTCTACTGATGACGTGGTGGGCGGGTTGTTTAGTGCTAACGGAACCAAAACACACCGAACTGCGCAGCACATGCTAAGGTTATCAAAGTCAATACCAGGCCAGCAGCAGTTAGGCTAGTATAACTGACCCACTGCTCACTTGTTCAATGTTTTTATTTAAATTAAAACTTTTTCCTCACCTATGAAATCTGAAGCCCTTATTACCATTATCTATGGTTTAATTAACTGCTAAACATTGCGTCCTTTTTTCTGATTCTTTGCGTGGTTGTAGTATTTTCCTGACCACCGATATTCCTGACTCAATGGACAGAAATGGCGCGTGTGTGACTTACGATAAATCACATAATGTCCAGTCCAATAATATATCCATCAATGCTGCTGCCTCGCGCTCTGTCCTTCTCTCGCACTTCCTGCTATTTAGCAGTGGGTGTCAGGTTACATTGTGTTGCATTCAATGTTGTCGGGGGAAAAAGAGTTTTATGCGCTTAATGTCCGATTTGCCATAACTATTTATTGAATTCATTGTCGCTAGCTGGGGTGGCAACAAGGGTGGCAAGGCTCTCGTTTGGGGTGGCAGCTGAGATCGGAAGA